AGAGAGTGAGAGAGGTTGCTCTGCTTATGCAGTCTCTGTTCCATTTGGCTAATGCATTCATCCCCGGATGTGCCTCCGTGGCTTTCTCCCACCTCCACCACAAACCCCAGAGGTGAATAAGTAAGACCTTCCATGATCTTTGCCTCTCTGAAAGGGGAGGTTGGAATTTATGTAGCCTAGAGAGAACTAAAATGACCTTAGAATCTTCCAGTTTGCAGTTTACACAGTGTACCTTTAAGATTCATGGTTCCCAGAGAGATTTAATAGTACAGGAATTACTGATAAACCATTATTACTATATTGAGTATTCCAATCATTTGAACATCTCTGGGATGCTGTCCCTTTTCATTTCTGTTGACTTGTGTAGTAACTGAAAAATAATTGATGAAAACATACTTTCACTTTAGTATTTTGTAGTTTCCTAGGCTCTTTTCTCCCTGTAAATCGAAAGAAATGTCAGACCCAACTCTTACCAAGAAAAGATCATCAGACCTTGCTGTAGCAAGTTGCCAACTTCTCAGATACCTAACAAGCCTCCTGAGCTTCCACCTGAAGAACCTGGCTAGCCATACCCTGAAACTGGCTGCAGTTTCATTCATTCATTCATGAAACATTGATCAAAGTCCTACTATGTGCCAGGTATTTATTATGCACTGAGGATACAGATACAGATAAATAAGGCACCATCCTGACCATCAAGAAGCTCACAGTGGGGCGGAGAGCAGACAAATAAGCAGACCATCAAATACACAGAGAATGCTTAGTGGAAGTGGAATAAAGGGATCTTAACCCAACCTGGGTTAGGGGAAATGAGGGGTCAGCAAGGGGTTCCTAGAGAACGCTGTGATTGAGCAGAGCCTCAAAGGGTATGTGAAAGTTAACCTGGTGAATGGGAGAAAGGGAAAGTATGAGGGTGTTTAGTCAGAGGGCAAAAAGTAAGCCTAATGGAAGTACTTAGGCTGGAAATGAAGAGCACGGGAACGGAGAGGCAGAAACTGTTGTAAGCTCTCTTGCTCTCTGGTTTAACTTAAATCTTAAATCTGAACATGTAAATCTGTACCTTGGCCCAAACTCCCCACTCTTCATCTGGCTCCTTTTCCCACTCCATGTTCAGAGTTACTGGTTTCTGGCCACTTGGGTTTCAACCAGAGATTGGCTTCAGCCTAGCCTTCCTTCCCAGCATAGCTGTGATTATTCCCTGCCTAGCTATAACCCACTGCTAAACACAATTGGAGATACATGAATCTGTAGGAAAAGTGGCTACCCAAAGGCAATATCAACATGAGAACCCTTGGAGTTACACACAAACAGAGCAGAGGGTAAAGGAAAAGCATAACCAGGAATCACTGCCCTCCTAATTGGCACTTTCTCATGTACATGTAAGATAGACTTATCCTTTCCATTAAAACTCTTAATCCTACCCGTATTTTCTTCTTTGAGATTTTGAAAGAAACAAGATCATATGTTAGAGAGCTCTGATATGAACATGGAACTAATATGGATCTCTTTGGAGCATTTTAGCTGATGCATTTTTATCCACTTAAAGGAGAAAGACTTAAAGGAGGTGAGAAAGCCATACAGGTAGCTGCAGAAAGAGTGTTCCCGGCAAGGAAAACAGCCAGTGCAAAAAACCCGAAGGCAAGAGCTTGTGTGTTGAAAGAACATCAAGGAAGCCAGTGTGGCTGGAGCAGAGTTGGTAAGACGAAGAGTAGTAGGAAGTAATGTTAGAGAGACAGTTAGGGAAGGAGGCAGATTATATGGAATCCTGAAGGTCCTTCCAAGGCTTTTGTTTTATTGAGTAAATAGGAAGAGTTGCCAGGTATTTGAACTGAGGCAGAACATTGACTTGGGTTTTCAAAAGACCATTCTAGATGCTGCTGTGTTGAGAGGAAACTTAGAGGTTGAAGTGAAAGCACAGAGACCAGTTAGGTAGCTATCACAATAATCCAGGCAAGAGATGATGGTGACCTGAACTTGGGTAGTAACTGTGAAAATGGTGAGGAGTGGTCAGATCCTGGAGAGATTCTGAAGTAATAGTCAACTGGACTTCCTGACAGAGTGCATGTGGAGTGTGAGAGAAAAAGTCAAGAATATTGTATTAGTTGGCTAGGTCTGCTATAACTAAGTACCACAAACTGGTGGCTTAAACAGCAGAAATTTGTTGTCCAACAGTTCTGGAGGCCAAAAGGTCCAAGATCACAGTGTTAGCGGGGTTGGTGGAAGGGTATGGCTCAGGCCTCTCTCATTCGTTTGTAGATGGCTATCTTCATGTTTACATGGCGCTTTCCATGTAAATGCATGTGTCGGTGTCCAAATTTCCCCTTTTTGTAAGGACATCAGTCACATTGCATTAGGGCCCACCCTAATGATCTCATCTTAACTAATTACATCTGTAATGACTTTATTTCCAAACAAGGTCACATTCTAAGATACCAGGGGTTAGGAATTCAACATACTAATTTGGAGCAGATACAATTCAGTCTGTAACAGATGACTCCAAGACTTTTGGCCTAAGCAGCTGTAAACATGGAGCTGTAATTAACTGAGATAGGAAAGGCCAAAGGTGGAGCAAGGAGTTACATTTTCGAGCAGGGATTTTTTTTTTTTTTTAAGATTTAAGAGTCTAGGGACTTCGCTCATGGTCCAGTGGTAAAGAATCCGCCTTGCAATTCAGGGGACGCAGGTTTGATCCCTGATCAGGGAAGTTAGATCCCACGTGCCGCGGGGCAACTAAGCCCGCATGCCACAACTGCTGAGCTTGTGTGCCTCAACTAGAGCCCTCGTGCTGCAACTAAGACCCGATGCAGCCAAAAATAAATAAAATAAATGAATACATTTTTTAAAAGATATGAGTCTAAAATTCGAGAGAGCACTCTGGGTTGAAGATCTATATTATCTATCATATATATGTGTCTGTGTATGTATACATAATATGTGTATATGTATATATATGTACATGCATATATACATATATTACTTCTCTCTATATATAACATATATAAGTACTCCTGTATACATATATACTCCTATAAACACATATACATGCACATGTATATATACATATATAAACATACTCCTATGTGCATACATTACATATATATGTATGTGTATATACGTATGTGAGCATATATTTGTGTGTATATTATGCATATACATATGTAATGATTTTATATATACATTATATATATTTTACATATATACATATATGAGTGTTGTTGGGTTTTTTTGGCATAATTTTAGATTTATAGAAAATTTGCAAAGATAATACAGAGATTTCCCACATACCCCTTACCCAGCTTCTCCTGATGCTAACATCTAAAATAACCATGGTACATTTGTCAAAACTAAAAAATTAACATTGTTACAGTGCTATTAACTAAACTACAAATTCTATTCCTGTTTCACCAGTTTTTCTATAATGTCTTTTTTCCTGTTCTAGGATCTAGTCCAGGATACCATATTACATTTAAAAATTTCTAATTGACATGTGTTGAATTTTTGACATCAGATGGTACAAAACTAGATACAGTCCAGGATTTATATATGATATAAAGCAAGGATTAGCATTCTCTGAGGCCTGTATATTAAAGATTTCTATGATTATGGGGGCTGGTTGGCTGCAGCATATTTCCTTCCCTTCTGCTTTTAAGTCACTGTCCATTGCCATACTCTGTAGCCCCAGTAAAAGAACAGGAAATAAAACCATATATCCTACTTTTGAGATGCTAGTGACCTCTGGTCTGAAGACATGCATGGCACAGACCAGTGTCCTCTAAAGAAAGAGGGAAAGTCAAATTGACCACAAGCCAGAGCTGACAGATCACGTGAGAATGAGGGGTTTGTCTGGATATTCACTACTCAGTCTTCTGCTCTCATTGGAACTGCACATCTTGGCTTTGTAGAACCCGTGGCAACAGTTTTCAGCTAGGGAGCTTCTGTAATTCTCACTACCCACTTTCAATAGGGCACAGCCATGTTGTCATAAAAGGACCCGAGACACCCACATGAACAGATTCGTTGGTATTGTAGAGTGTCTCTGGGGGAGCACCTCAGACAGGAAGTGGAAAGTCAGACCTTACATTCTGGTCAGGAACCTGTCCTCTGAGCCTTCTCCCAGTGATGGCTGTGTTCCTGATGCTGAGTGCTGCAGCAGAGGTTGCTGGAAGCAGGTGGCTAATTCTGTATGGGTTTCCGGGCTTGTCTGAAGGAGGGGTCCCTGAGGACAGGAGGCTGATGGCTCATCTCTCACCACGGTTTGTCTAGTCAGGGATTCAGTTCCCTGGCTCCAGCTCTGGCGATAGTATACTGAAATTCCACACCTTCGCCTTACTCTTTTCTGCTAACTCTGCTCATAGCAGTTCACACACTTCCTTTGACTGGCTAGGAAGGCAGAGAAGAAGGAAGCCACTGCCGAAAAAGGTCAACCTGAGCCATACAGAGAACAGAAAATGAGTATAGATAAAGGAAAATTGTTCTGCTGCTGGAAGGCAGTTGAGGATGATGACATTGTTATTGGACTATCTTTATTGTACCTAGATGCTGTTAATACCTTTTTCACACTGTTGTTGATGGTAATTGTTGGTCTTTCATCTCTATTTTGCTGTGATAGATCTTTTTTTTTTTTTTTTGCGGTACGCGGGCCTCTCACTGCTGTGGCCTCTTCCGTTGCGGAGCACAGGCTCCAGATGCGCAGGCCCAGCGGCCATGGCTCACGGGCCCAGCCGTTCCACTGCATGTGGGATCTTCCCGGACCGGGGCACGAACCCGCGTCCTCTGCATCGGCAGGCGGACTCTCAACCACTGCGCCACCAGGGAAGCCCTGTGATAGCTCTTTATTGGAGTTCTTTTTCTTGATTTAATGTAAGAACGCCTTTGAGTTTCCACTCCAACATTTTTTTTCTTTTGTACGCAGAGGAGTTTCTTCCTATTTCTTCTTTATTAGAACCTGTCTTCCCAAAGGCTCCTGCTTACTGATCCAGTGGTCTTCCCTTTCTCTGTAGATGTCTTGTGGCAAGAAGGGAAGGCCTCCGGAGCGGTGTACAGTAGTGAGAAGGAGCTCACTGAACGAACTCCTTGTGAAGGTGAGTGAGTGCCCAGTACGTGGAGTGTGTGGCCCTGCCACTTTAGATTACCACATTTTTTTCTCCTTATTTTTGTAATTAAAAAAAATTACTTAATGAAAGTTTATTGTTAAAATAAAACTAAAGAGGTTTAGAAAGTGTCTCTTTACCCAGACATAGGCGAATATGTGTAATATTGTCAAAGACATCTTCAATCTGTAAAAAAGTAAAAGGTTACTTATGTTTCCAGGCTTCATAGACGCCCTGTGTAGAAGGCAGATTTAGGGAAGGTAGTCCATCATTTGAGATTTTTAATGACAAGGTATATTTTGTTGGATCAGAAGAGACAAAGGATGGAAACTGGATCATAATTTCCTGTACTACCTGAGTCTCAAATCACATGACCTGAGAATGAGCAGTGGTCTCAATTATAATCCAAATAATTCTCATTTTTTGTTGACTTTAAAATTGCCTTTAGCTTTTTCCATTTCTAATCAAATTTATTTTTTAAACCCCACTTCGTCATATAAAATTGGCATTGGACTGCTGGTCTCTAAGTTGTGTTTTTTTTGTTTTTTTTAAATTTTATTTATTTATTTATTTATGGCTGTGTTGGGTCTTCGTTTCTGTGCGAGGGCTTTCTCTAGTTGCGGCAAGTGGGGGCCACTCCTCATCGCGGTGCGCGGGCCTCTCACTATCGCGGCCTCTCTTGTTGCAGAGCACAGGCTCCAGACGCGCAGGCTCAGTAATTGTGGCTCATGGGGCTAGTTGCCCCGCGGCATGTGGGATCTTCCCAGACCAGGGCTCGAACCCACGTCCCCTGCACCTGCAGGCAGATTCTCAACCACTGCGCCACCAGGGAAGCCCAGGCCTTTGTGTTTGATTATTGTAACTATGAAACTGCCCATACCTTACTAAATATTATAGGTTTTGCTCAGCTCTATCTTGACATAATACCCGACCTTACTTCTATGCTTAAGAATCTTTCAACCATTCCTGTTATTTTCCCACATGAACACTAACTCCTGCCTTTTCTCTTTACAGAGTACACCTTGCTCCTATGTTGTTTTCCTTTCCCTCCTGTTCTTAATCATGAATTCCTATTCATGTCTCAAGGTTCCACTCAACAGATAACCTCCAGATCACTCAGGATGTTCATTATTCCCTCTTTAAGGCTCCTTACCCTCATGTACATATGTACATCTGGTATCGCACTTAAAATAGTTGTTCCAGACACTCTACTAAGTGGTTCACATGCATTATCTTATTTACTTATGGCTAGAACCCCATCAGGTAGGTATTATGATTATCCCCTTTAGCATATGTGGAAACTGAGCCTTAGAGAGGTTATTTGACCTAAGAATACACAGCTAGAAGTGATAGGTAAAGCTAAGATTTCAAACTGGGTCTGTTTGGTGTTTTAGTCTGTGCTCTTAACCACATTTATACTTCCTCTCTTACCACATTGTAAAATAATTTTTATGCCTGTCTGTCTCCTCCACTGTATTTTGATCTTCTTTAGATTAGGGAACATGTCTTACCATTTTTCCAGTTTCTATTGTTGTGTCTGATACCTAGAACCTTTTGTTTGTTGTGTGATTCTTTTTTTTATATCAGTGTTTGTTGTTGTAGGTGATATTTAAAGCCATGATCTAGGTGACATCACCAAGTGCGTGATGAGAAGAAAAGTAGACCCAAAACTGAATCTTGGGGCTCTCTATGATTAAGAGATTAAGGGGTTCGAGAGAAGAGGTGACTGAGACACCTTTAGAAACATTGTCAGAAATAAGAGAAAGAGCCAGAACTATAGCACAATATCATTTATGAGGATTAAAATCCACACACGGAACCACAATATAAGAATGCAAGAATACATTGATATATATATATATTAATATATTCCTTTTTGTTGCTAGAGAAAGACTTTTATGTTTTGCTCATTTTTTAAATTGAAGTATAGTTGAATTACAATATTGTGTTAGTTTCAGGTATACAGCATAGTGACTCAGTTTTTTTGCAGATTATATTCCATTATAGGTTATTATAAGATATTGAGTATAATTCCCTGTGCTATACAGTAAATCCTTGTTGCTTATCTATTTTATGTATAGTAGTTTGTATCTGTTAATCCCATACTCCTAATTTGTCCCTCCCCCTCCCTTCCCCTTATGTAACTATAAATTTGTTTTCTATGTCTGTGACCCTGTTTCTCTTTTGTATATACATTCGTTCGTATTATTTTTTAGATTCATACCATATGTCATATCATATAGATTTGTCTTTCGCTGTCTGACTTATTTCACTAAGCATAATATTCTCTAGGTCCATCCACATTGCTGCAAATGACAATATTTCCTTTTTTATGGCTGAGTAATATTCCTTTGTGTATGTGTGTATATATATGTGTGTGTGTGATATATATGTGTGTAAATATATATATACACACAACAGATGATTGGCTTAAGAAAATGTGATATATATATATATCTCATCTGTTGATGGGTACTTGGGTTGCTTCTGTGTCTTGACTATTAAATAGTGCTGCTATGATCATTGGGGTACAAGTATCTTTTCAAATGAAAGTTTTAAGAATATATTTGTATATGGAACCACATAAAACAAATTAGAGGGTTTGCTTGTGTAGAGAAAGGGGAACATGAGTGGGAAATGTAGATAAAAGGGAATAAATAAAACAAGAGATCAGCCTTGCCTGGAATGATGATGAAAGTGTGCCATGAATTGAGGAGTGTGATTAAATCTGGTACCTGAGTTCCAAAATAAGTAAAATAAAATAAATCTAGTATGAAATAAAATAGAAATCCCTGGTTATGTTTCTTCCCTTGAGTACTTTTCCTCTCCTGAAAAATACCGCAGAGAACACACAATATTTTTAAACCTCTCTTCTTATTTTCTTTTAGTGAAAGTAGTCACCAGTGATGGATTCTAAATGTTTGATTAAAATAGTTGAAAAGAGGGAAGTTTAATGAAGCCTGCTTGCTATGGAAGTGACTATAAGATGACTTAAATACTTATTGCTAATTTCTGAGAAGGGAAGAGTACGCATCAGCATAGAAGCCCACTCTAGGTTTGAATGTTGTTCTCCTACCTCTCCTGTACTGCACTTTAACAATAGTGTTGCTATGAAAATAAATTATGTGGGTAAATACAGGGAGTAAGTATGTAGAGCCACAGCATTAGCTTTCCTGCAGAAATCACATCCTCATGAGTTTTCTAAATCATAATCATTAGGATTGACACAGCCAATTTAGGAAACTAACGATGATATCAACAAAAGCCAAACATACACATACTTCACACCCAGCCCATTTGATTCCTATGTGTATACTCAACAGAAACACATTCTGTGTTCACCAAAGGACATGTATATAGCACTTTGTGCACTTTTCTGTATATTATACTTACCCTCAAAAAAGTCATTAGGGAATGCCTTTGCTCAGTATGTCCCAGCTGTCGGTGCCAGCAAAACAGGAAGCAGATTTAATCCGGTTTCTTGAGTGTTAAGGATTGCTTTGTGGTCAGTCACAGGCATGCTCAAAGCAACAAATTCAGGTACATGGTAGAATACAAGCATGTGAAGAGCTATGAGAAACCTTCACAACTTCCTCTCTTGGGCCTTAGTTTTTTCCTTGAGAAAGGCTTTCCATCAAAGTATTCAATACCCCAACTAAAAGCTAAATAGGAATCACATCCTCAACAGTTGTAGCAGTCAGCTTCCTTGAGTCGCAATGACCCAGCATAAACTAGCGTAGGTAAAAAGGGAATTAGTGGTATCTCTAACTGAAAGTCCAGCTAAGCAAAAATATACGATCTCTCCTTCTCAAACACAGCATCTCTCCCTCTTGAAGGTCAGCCTCTTTGTGAGGATTTTATTCTTTCCCATTGCAGACAAATTTCCTCCATGTTCCTGAGCAAGAGAACCACAAACCAGCCTAGACTTACACATTCCAGGCCCTGCAACCTCAGAAAAAACTGAATTTATTTTTCCCAATGTTGAGCACCTAAAAGAGTTTTGAATAGTTCTGCTAAGGTCATGCTCTTCCTGGAAAAATCATAGCCACTGCACATGGAATTTAGGAATGTCTAGGCCTGGGCCAAATGATAGCGGCCATTGGAAAATACTAATAGTAATCTAATAATAATAGCTAATGGTGGCTAAGCATTTACTATATAAAGCCATCATTCTAAGACTCTTATATGTATCAAATAATTTCATTCACACAACACACTTAGGAAGTTACTAGTATTTTCCCCATCTCATAGATAAGGAAAGTGAGGTATACAGAAAGCTTAGGTAACCTACCCCAGTCCCATACCTAGCAAATAGCAAACTCAAGATTAAAATGCAGGTGCCCCAGAACCAATGCTTCCAATTACTGTGGTTGTGTTGCTTTCAAGGTGCCACAACTGACAGCTCCCCAGAACCACAAGGGAAGGGAGAGGAGTGGTTCCTTGAAGCAGAGTATGAGATGCAAAGGAAAACTACCAACATCTCATACAGTGGTTCATTAGTTTCACTTATTTAACTAAACATTAATCCAAAAATTCAACAAATATCTGACAAATGTCTACCATGAGTTAGGTCACACATCATTCCTTAGAGCATAGAAAAAGATGGATTCATTCACTGTCGCCAAATGTCTCCCAGATTATAGATGACAAAGGAGCACAGGAAAGAGTACCTTCTTTACGTGATAAAACCATTTTGTCTCCAGAGTCTTTCCAAATTGTATTTAAACATGGTTTTTAAAAAATTATTTTATGGCATAAGGTTAGATTTTATAACTTTGAGTAAGTAGCAAATATAAAAGCAAACAAATTAAATTTGTTCAACTGATTCAGCCAGAATCATTTTGTTAAATGAATGTAGATTTTTTTTTCTTCTGAAACTACTATAATGAAAATGTTGCACTCAGGCTCTGAAGAAATTTTTTTAGAGAAATATACTAATAGGTTTTCTTTTTTTATCACCAACTGTGTCAGGCACTTAACTTACATTATCT